TCCAGTAAGTAGATAGTTTCATGGTAACACATTATTGGAAAGTTAACTTTAGTTGGCCTTTTAGTCTTAGAAAGTGTGCACATGAAAGGAATGGGATCTGTTATACTCATTCATACCCTGAAATATTTCTCACAACCTGACAATTGTTAGGACCGAGAGGAACTAGAACTAATATCAACTGCAAGTGAACTCTTACGGTGTTTTCTTGGACATTAATCTACTAGAAATTGTTAGTGAACATTTAGAGGGTTGTATGTCTAAGGTTGCCATCGCCGTAAGAGTTAAATTTAGAAGTGTTTCAGTCAACTAAGACTAGAAAGGCACTTCTCCAGCTAATGAAGGTATTCATTTAGGAATATGCTCTGACAACCCAAGATGAGGGAGCTTCAAGTGTAACTAGCTTAAATCAGGGTTCAGAGTTCTCCCTTCATTTTCCTAGCCATGAAACAAGGTTTAAAAAGCTGCAGAGCATGATCCTTGCCAGTCACCAATTACAATAAAAAAGCCTAGAATCTGGGTAAAAGGTCCAGGAGTAAAGAGAACACATTTGCCATTTTATGTAGTTTCTTCCCTGCTCCTGATTCTATCAAGGCTTGTTTTTAGGGTGTCCTCCCTTCATACGTGTCTTTCAGTTGGCCTTTAAAAAAAAAAAAAAAAAATCACAAAAGTTCTCCTGCCCACTTCAGACTTCAATATATTGAAACAAGGTACAAACATTTTTACTCCTTTGGGTCACAGATGGAAAGTGATGTGAAAGCAAATGTTCACTTTGCATTCCATGGCTTGTGTTAGAGCTTCATCAGCCTCTAAGCAGCTTTCCACATCAGTTTTGATAGGATGACAGATGGAAGTAGAAAGAACAGTTCTTTGCTTTAGTCTATAGTGGATTTGAAGTTACATTACTGTATTTAAGCTAAGCTTTTGATTCTGCCCTCATTTCTGAGCAATCTGCTGAAATAAACAAACACACCTAAATGCAGCTTGCAGGCATTCCACTGGAAAGCATCCAGAGCAAACACATACAATTCCTCCCTCACAGTGAGTTGTACAATTCTCTTCTCACAGGATACAGAGAAAAAAAAATATGTCAGTCTCTGAAGTTCAGTCCACCGATTTCAGTATTATCCTCCTCTAGCCGTTAACCTGTACAGAGTACCCATAATATATTAGTTTAGTGGTTCTGCTTGGAAAAACCTTTAGACCGCTTTACACACAACCTGGGATTGGAGTTAAAATGTCCTTCCTCTGCATCACTGCCAGTAACAAAAGCTCTAGAGGCCAGATTAGGCTTTTATTGGTACTTAAGCAACCCTCTGCTGTTAGCAATATGTTTGCATAACAAACTGAATGGAAGTAGGGATGACATTTATTCTGGTGCATCAACAGAAAAAAAATCCTGGCCTCTTTTGAATGAATTGACTTTGCTGACATAACAGGAGTTAGAGGCAAATGAGCTTGCTGCCTTTAAAGTAAGTAGATAGGATTGGATACATCTAAGCAGCAGATTTTGTGAATAAAGTGGGGATATTCTTAGTCATCTTGCAGTACTGCAGAACCATTCAAAGTTACACTGGAAGCGATGGGTGAAGGAAAAGGTTAATTTGGAAAACGAGTAGAAAAAACAATACAAATGTAGTCAGTTTTTAACTCAGGCTTGTGCTGTTTTTGGTGCAGTATGAGGGTGCTGTTCCACAACTTGTATTATTAGTATTCGTTCTGGTGCAGTAACAGACCAAGACCTGATTGTGTAGATGCAATATAAATGCCGAACAAAGATGGTCGCCAACACAGAGCTAACAAATGGATGCACACAGTCCACCAGAGGAGTACAGTGAGTCAAGGCTGGTCAGCATGATAGGCTATGACCTCAGCATATCAGCAGTCTAACGGTCAAGGCTTTAGTAGGTCTCACAGCAGAAGGGAGTTTTAAGGAGAGATTTGGAGAAAGATAATTAGTTAATTTTGGAGAGGTTTATGAGGAGATTCTCCCAAGTGAGAAAGGCAGCATGGGAATTGTTCACACCACACTGCTTAAGAACAGTAATGATATAACTACATCGAAAACAAAACCAGCTTGGATTTTAGATAGTTTATTCCCTCAGCCTGCAAACATCTATTAAAGATGCAAGCTGTTTTAGTACAGATCCTACTTAGGACCATACAAATCTTACAACTTCCCTCCCACTCGCACAAAATCCTCAAACAGGATGCATACAAAAGAACAAAGTCGGGTATAAAACAAGGTTTTGTATTTCCACCCCCCGCAACAAGGTTACATGGAACTCTAACTCAAGGCGAACACTGCAACTAATTAACAGTGTGGTACAGCAGTGTTACTCAGCACACAATTAATATCCTGAATGCCAGGAAGTTGAGGGTATTCTCAGGAAATACAAATGTAAAACCACAGATTGCTATTATGGTTATTGTTGCACAAAGGTGAATGATCCCTTTCAAATGGGAAAAAACCCATTATAATGTTCCTTAGTCTCCCACATGCTTTTATCAGATGTGGCTTGCAGCTTCACAATAGTTATATACATAACAATTGCTTGCCATGCTGTCCTATGCGAATGTGTGTGTATGTCAGATATACTATACTATACTATGTTGTTAAGTTGCCAATTCTTAGCACATACTGATCATGAGCACACAGCAAAGGTAATCATATACCAGAAAGTGGCTTCACTCAAGAGGATTGCCGACTGGATTTCAGAACAGCTTTCCCCTTCCCAGATTTAATACAGACACATAATTCAGAAAGTTTACATTTAAGTCATTTCACTGGGCTTCTGAAAGAAATTCTTAATATAAAATACCATGCAAGAATGTGGAATACAACTTCACTCCTGTTTTTGATTATAAGTGTGGTAATCATCAGCACTGATTTAACACTCCGTAATCCACCCATAAAAGACTTAACTTTTTTTTAAAATAAAAATAAAAGTGTTACATAATGTTTTTGAAACCCAAAGGAATAAAACTTGAACAGGAAACGGGAAACTTAAAAACAAAATAAAACAGCAGAAAACTTCTCACCCTTTCTGTAACGTGACCTGAAGGTCTCAAGTCAAGCCACATGAAATACTTTGGATTTTTGCTAAGATAGAGTCTTTGAGAATCTATGGAAAGGCAGGCTGCTTTCTTAGTGGTGGTTTCATTGATATGTTGGTACATGGGGAAGTGGAGCCACTGCCAAACTAGGCACTACAATCTCATTGTGCTTAAAGCAAGAGGCAGATCACATGCAAAGTCATTAGACTGCTTCAGCATTTGCTAGATATGCTTTTCATGTTGCCAAAGTAGCAACTAGAACAAAGTTTAACATTGGCCCAATCTCTTGCCATGGGCTCCTCAGACTGCTTTGGGTAGCTAATTTCTTGGATTTAGCTGTTTAACTGGAGATCACAAAGTTGGCCTTTGAAAGATGTTCCTCTTATCCGCTATCTACTGATGTTAAAAGCTCATTGGCTGTGGGCTTCTTTCTTGACTTGTCCAACAAGCTAGTTGCAAACCTCTGAAGTTAAAAATCCACAGCTGCTGAAGCAGGTTTAGAACGGATGCACAGTGGGAGGCGGCTGAAGTTTCACTGAAAAGCAAATCAACTTGCAAGTGATGGGAGAAGCATGATTCCACATAGCCAGGTTCTCTTCCAGACGTAAACCATGATACCACCTAGAAATGGAAGGAGCAGCAACATGCTGCTCCATCACTACTAGATTTGGCAATGCTAAACACATAATCAGGTTTGCCACCTGGCATTTCAGAGTTCACCAAAAGCAACCTGTTCTCTGGCTTACAGGAACTGGACAGTAATCCTGCCCAGTTTGAAATGGTTTCTTTAGATCTAATGAAACAGCCAAGGAGAAATTCCTGAAGCTAAAATAAAAAAATAAAGCAACCTAGACCACACAATAAATTAAAACATGATATCTGCACAATGAGCACTTTCACTTTATACTGTCAGTAGGCTTCCGGGAGGTGCTGCATTCTAGTTGTATGAAAAGCCTCCTAAGGAAGCACCATTTTCTGTTTCACTTCACTTGGTGTTATACTGCCAACAACAACAAAAAGAACAGAGCTGCAGTCGAAAGGAAAGACTCGAGAACCCCATGGTAGGTTGGCTATTAGCAGAACGAGGTCTCAGTGCAATCCAGATGACTCAACTGCAGTGGTATTAGCTTCATTCGACTGTACTTAAATAATAAAATAAGGCATAGTTTTAAAACAGGCACTAAAATCATCTCAATATTAACACTTACATGGCATACACCAGCTCAAGCCATCCCACCTATAGAACAGCTGTTGGGTAGCTGTTCCTGTGTGCGCCATAGAAGAAAAGCCATTTCCACTAACCATCTTGAGAAAGGCATACAGAAAAGTCTCATCTTTGCAGTCAGCCTGTCGATCATTAGGGCAACATGGTGAATACAAGCATTCCATGTTGTTTCTCTGATCACTTCCAGCAAGACAAATGCAAAGATGTCCATGGAGCGAGCTGGTGCACAATAGTCAGGACTAAGGAACAGACAGATACACGCTTCCCCCCTAGAACTTCAGTTTTCCTACACAGTCTTCTCCTGCTCACGAATACAGTCCTTAGAGCTTCTTCAGGCGACTGTACAGTTCTCTTTTGCTCTTCTCACCCGCCCATGTTCTACTTTTTGTGCGGAACCTTTTCAAGTCTTCCTTGAAGTCCTCATGGTGCATAGGACGGTAGCTCTGGGGTTCACAATAATTCTGGGAAAGAAAAGCTGGTTTCACTTCAATTTGTCATTGCTTCATTTACAAATGACATTCCTAACGGAACCCTTTCTGATCCCATACCTCCAAGCAAACAAGCCCATGCACTTAGAATATTCTACACCACTATCCAAGCATCTCATCATCATGGCATCTAGATCCAGGCCCCAAATTTCAATATAACTACTGGTTGAAGCCAACATTCACAGACCGAACACACCATTCTGTTTGACATTTCTCCCTTAAAGAGAGATCTCTCAAAGGAGGGGCGAAAACCTTATATTTACCTAGTTTTCATCCCAAAGCTTATAACCCAGAAACATTCTTTTCACCCATGAAAGCAACAGAACACAGGAACACCACAGAGCCATTAGGAAAGAGAAACAGTATCTATCCTGGTAGGGCAGATGGAAAATAGGGAGGTACAGTCTAGTTAATCTAGCTGACATTTGGCTAGGACACCAGTTTTAAGTGGAACTTACATAATAAAAAGAATGTGTTTCTTTGCAATATAAAGGCAGCAGGATGTGTTTGTGTGCAGTTGGTTTATTATTTCAAAATGATCTCTAGCTTTGCCTATTCTGGAATGGCATGGAAAACTAGCTGGCGAACTAATAGAATAAGGCCACAGCACCAAGGAAGCTTAACGTGATCGAGATGAAAGCTATTTTAATAAAAACTTAAATGCACTAAGGCAGAAAAGCTGTTAGATTTAATATCACTCTTCAAATTAAGGACTTCCACTTAACATCCTCTCGCTTCGCACTGCTCCAACATTACCTTCCTGCTCCATGAGAAAATATGCTCATTTAAAGTTGTGCAATGCTCCCTTGTAATGTTGCTGCTCCTCTGGAGAAGCCCGGAAGCGGACAGAGTGGGGTTTGGCATCCCCCTCCCTCAGCTCCCTTACACCCCCAGTGCCTCTTGGCTGTCAGCAGACCCCACAGATAAGTACCTTCCTCTTCCCTCCTCCCCCTGCAGCAATCAGCTGGTACAGGGCATTCAGAGGCTGGGGAGGGAAGATGTAATGTGCTTCAGGGAGGAGGTGGAACAGGGGCGGGAAGAGGCAGGCCTGAGAAGGAGCAGGGAGGCGGCTGAGCTCCCGTCTCTCCCCCCCCCCCCCCCCCAAATCAGCAGCAGAGCCTGTTCCTGTGAGAAGCTGTTGCTTCTGCTCGCCATGGGATTTTAATAGCTACAAAAGATCAATTTTATACGTCATGCAAGAGACACTGGTAAGCACCACAGGGACAGTAGGTTGCTTTGAGGTATGGAGAGGGCTTTGACAAGAGTCTTTACTACAAAAGCCTCCAATGACACGTTACTCGCAGCATTCAATCTAGTCTTGTAGCACAGCAAGCCCACTATGTGCAAAAGAGCAAGAAAGAGGATGTATCATGCAGTGAGTTATGCTTCCTCTCTTTGGAAGCACAATTTAAGTCCTACGGCTGAATTTAGCTGGAAAGGGGCATTTGTTCAATGTTATCCCTCTCGTCAAGAGGAAAACCGAAGGGCAATCAGAAGTTCATAAATGAGTACTCCTTACTCTGCATCTTAAGAAGAAGTCCTTATAGCCTCCCTTTAGTACATAGAGCTCTGGGTAATGCAGGTTGGGGTACTCGTTCCCCAGTCTGTCTCTCTCTCTCACAAACCGGCACCTGTAACAGGGACAGAGGTTAAAACGTACAAACCTGTGTTTAGAAAAAAAAAGTTACATTTGTACAATCCACACTGTTAACCTGTGCCTCCCACTACTCAAACTACTGAGTACAGCAGCCAACCACTATCTGCTGGAACACACATTGTCCTGTCTATCAGGAATGAGTGCGCCAATACCTATTACAGTAAACTGCATAAGCAGGTGACATGCTGCTGTCTAAAGTCTTCAAAAGCTTGCTAGTAACAACTAGGTAACTAGCATAGCTACAGGATTCTGATCACAGTATAGACAGTACTATGCTCAGATACTCACATTCGGGGACCCCGCTCTGAGGAGAACTCACAGTGGAATACTATTATTACTCGTTTGTTCTCTGATGCCAGGATAGGCTTCTTCAACAGGTAATCCTCCACATCCTCTTCCATGTGGAGGTTTACAGCACCCTGGGAAGGCAGAATCGCAACTGAGCACACAGCACAAATTAAGAGGGAAGATGTAACGAAGCCACTTGCATCTTTTCTTGAGCACAGTTAGCTTTGCTTTCCTTTACTAACAGAAAGCCATTTAATTTCTTGGAGAGCAGCTCCATTTTAATGGCCACTTGAATGACTGCACAACATCGGTAGGATTTAACCTTACACCTCAAAGCACAGTGTCGTTAAACTGCTTTTTAGAACTAGCCAGCTTACTCAAGCAGAGCTCTCCAGAGTAACTGCTCATTTTTCAAAGTGCATGCAAGAGCATAAGGCCATTTCTTCAGCAGTTGGAATATTAAAATTTAGTTACAGTAAACAACATCTAGTTAAACAATGGAAGTTTTAAATGTCTGTTTCCCAAGATACATATGGCATCCTAACATTCTGATTTCTCTACAGAGGAAAAAGGTGTGAGGTCAGTCCTCTAAAACTGCTCCACACCTCCCATTAAGGGATGGGCAATAATTTTTGATGAGGGGCCACTCCAAAAATTGAGAGGGTGCGAGTCTAGGAAAGAGGTTGGGCACAGAAAGGAGCTC